TAGCCCCAAGCCTATACAGAAGCAACACGTCAAAAAGAGTGCATCGAAGACTTTAAGTGATAGAGCAGTGCGACCTAGAGAACCGTTTGGAATGCAAGCCGTCACGAGCAACATGCAACGTTTTTCAACCTTGTTCGAGTTTTTGCAATATTTTCGTGATGGTGCGTTCCACATCGGTTCGCGAGTTTTCATGGTTTGGGAAATGGCACAACCATTGCACGAATCTACAATTTATGCAAGGTTGGGTCTCGAATTGTGTGCACCGGCGTTTTGTTTGAACAAATTCAATTATGAAGGTATTGTACATGCTGGAGTCATTTCGGATGACACCTGTTTATCTTGCAGCTTGACATGCAAGATACACGTGATCGAAAGGAGACTGTGCTTGCATGCTGGTGACACAAAGCTGTGAGCGTTGTCTCGCAACAGTGTTGTTGCTTAAGATGAAAAGGTTTTGGTCAGGCAATCTACATTTTCAGTGGAAAAGTTGAGGGCTTCACCTCGAAGGAATCGGTTCATGAACATTATGTTTATATTTTGAGGATTTGCGTTTCTTTGGATATTTTGTAAGTTCTTGAGCTATTGTGATTGCAAGGTGGAGCCGATATGTTCATTACTGCAGATACTGGTGCGGCTGCGAAATACGAATCTTCTTTTCGATCAGTTTTTTCAACAACGCTGACATGAATCAAACAGTTAGAAATTGCGAGATTGGCATTCGTTTTGCATCATGTTCAGATTCATGGCAACGGTTGAGCCTCGAGAAAATCACGATTTCACGGGTAGTTTTTTTGCAAAATGGTCCGCGAGCCTCGTGTGTTCATGTTAAGTCACAATATGCGCAGCAGTTTGCAGCTATCGTTATGTAGGTGCTCATTTCTCGGCCAGACAACTCGCGCCCCTCGACAAGCATGGCTTTGTGTTGGTTATGGACGCTCTGCTTGGTGCAATCGGTGGTTCCAGCTTTGGCAATGGACATTGTCGGAGAAGTAAACCGCTTCTTAGCCCTGTTGCTGCTTGGTATCGCTTTCTATCTTGCCTTCCTGTACAGGGACCGTGTGGTCACATTGATGACAGGGGACGATCGTGTGCACTGCGATCTGAATTCCAGCATTTGGCAAGTTCTCACGTGCTGCCGTTTTTGTGAGGGTGAGTGGACACGAGCATTGACATCTTCGTGCTGCTGGCCCTTCCGCAGTTCCAAAGGCAAGAACCTTTTGCATCTCTTGGGCCAGCGCTTGGGCCTTACCCAGATTCCGATAGAAGTTACGAATATCATTGTCGGAGACCTTCCAGCAGTTCGGTCTGGCGATTTCTATTTGACAGTTGAAACCAGCAGCAATCCTCCACAAATCACAGCAGTGGTTGATAACTGCGATCCGAAAGTTGTCAATTTTCCAGATTCGCTCATTATCAAAGTGCGGAGGTCAACTCTAGACAGCAACGTACGGTTTGTTGTGAAGAAGATGCATACAGTGGGCAGTGTGGAGATCTGCGAGTGCTACATCAGTCCCAAGATGCTGCTGTATTGGATGGAGCATGAACAGGGACCAGTTCGCATCCGCATGGAGCCTTGCAGAAGAGACTACAATTTCACTCTTCCGGCTTGGATACTGATAGACTTGCAGGAGCATCTTGCACCCAGTCGAGGCGTCAGCCAATTTGATCTCACAGTACGTGATGCCAAGACTGGAGATAGCGTTGATTACGATGATGCCAACAAGTTCAAAAAGTCATACGAGTTGCTCCATGTCACTGGCTTTCGATCTCAAGAGCCGGACGAGACAATGGTTGGAAGCATTGACACGGCCTATCGTCGCAAGGCTATGTGCTTGGGCCAACTCTTCATGTTGCTGCTGTTGGGCTCCGGGACCTTTATGGTATCGAGATTGTACTGCATGGCTTGCTTTCAGAAGTATTCCGAGATCACGGTTTTGAACAACTTCGGCGTCCTGTTCCCCGTGTTCGATCATGACAAGACCTTTTACAGGGAAAGATGCAATCTCAACTCCAACTTGTTTGTGGGCATGTTCGAGGATGACGTGCTTTTTGGGCAGGCTCTATCAAACGAGAAGGTGGATCCCAACTGCACCGTGACTCGCGAGCAGGTAATGTGCCTTGGCTGTTTGGTACTCCATCGTGATACGTTCGCATGATGCATGCATCGGTTAAGCTTCCTATTCCAGAACTCGAGGCACACGTGCGACGACCTTCCCATTGGAGCACGCCATCCGAATCTTCGGATCGGCCTCGGTTGCTTGGGCCCAGATTGTTTTTAGAGTTCTTCGGAAGGATGATGAGGCGCAAAAACCAAAAGACCCTGCATCAAGTCGTTCGCTTGTTTTTCTTGCGTCCAAGGTTTCTTTGACGTGTACATTCCTTGCTTGCAGCAGACTTGTCCGATCGATGAAGTTCTTCGGCACTGGGGCAGCTGGCATGTGATGTTCGTCGTGATCATGTTCCTGCTCATTCTTTGCACATGGGGAGCGTGCAATTGGCACATCCTGAATTTACAGGACCATGTTCTGACGGAGTCCCGTGGAATGGCATACACGCACGTGCAGCAGTCCCCCGGCCTGTTGTCGCCGTGAGCCGGCTGAGCTCTTACGTGAGGGGCTCAAGTTAACGACCGGGACCGTCTGTTTCGTCAAGCGAGCGGTTGTGTCCATCATTCTGTACGGTGACTCTTCAGCTCGGCTAAGTTGGGCTTGAGTTCTGGATTAACAAACGCCGGCATTTAGCCGAAGTATTGTGCAGTGAGAGTCGAAAGGTGGACCGATGCATCCACTGTGCATGTTCAGCCGACACCTCATGCAGTTTTCATGACCCTCATGCAGAGTTTCCACTGAATTGCAGCTCAAGAAGTGTCCTCGGAGAGGGGAGGCCGCGCGCTGGCCAGAGGCAAGGCTTAATCCATTCACTACCTCTTCCACACCATTGAGTACTGCTGACGTTGAAGATGAGAGAGTTTTCCTGGAGCCAGCATAGTGTAGCGATTTGGCGCATGTATCGTGAGGCCGGCCGCCGGCATGCCTCCGAAACAAGGAGTGAGCCGCAGCTTGAGCGGGAAGATGTCGCGCAGTGCAGTGCTTTTTTGTTTTTTTTGGTACGGTTCCTTTGACAGAGTACTCCAGCGGCCAAGCGAAGCGGGATTGAACTGTCCACGGAAGCTTGTAGCTAATCCTGAAGCCAGTGCGGATGATTTTGCTGTGTGCACACGCTCGTGCAGTTTTTTTGAAGGCAGTTCAGCTGTTGTTGCATGCAGGAAATGCTACGCGGGCAAAAGAGATGGAAGAATACGACAAGGCCAACATCCCAGTTCTGTTTTTCGCATGCTGGCCTTTTCTTTCGTCTTCTGGGCGTTTGGGCTTCCTGCCGTGGCGGCTCCGCGGCCTGGAGGGAGAGAAAATGTGAGCAAGACCTTCGCCATCATGTTCACGATCAAACTCACAATCAGCCGCACTTCACATTATCATGATCATCGGTGCCATCTTGATGATCCTTCGTCACTACTCGTACATTTCACTGTGCTTGTCGACGTCGTCGTCGACATGGCATTTTTGTGGTCGTTGTTGCTGCTGCTGTTCTTGGTAGGGAAGTGGTGGTGGTAAATAGCCCAATCGGAGACATGCAGTTGAAGTCACACTTACAACGGTCACCACCGATGCTTGCCGAGGAGCAGTTCATGCTCATGCAGCAGCGGCACAAGCTGCAGAAAGACACACAGCTTGAGGCAAGGTCTGCCGGAAGTCAGCCATGCACAGGCAACTTGTTCCACGCGTAGCTGCACCCGTGCACCTCGTATACACATGCAGGTCAGAAATACCAAGTACAACATGAGCCGGCGAGCGGCTCAGAAGCTGCTTCTTGAAGGTGAGCAGATCTGTCTTACGCTAACATGAGGTTGGATGTGAACCACACAATAATCGAGAAACGGGAGTCGTCCGAGGATTCAGGAAAGCTGGCTGAAGATCATGCGCTCAGCGAAGACCAAGCAGCTGAAGAAGCAGGAGTGCGGGAGCGGGGAGCTGGGAGTGCAGTGGCAGTTCAAGGTGGATCGTGACATGGAAGCAGGTTTGGAAAGCCTGCGCTTGCAACGCGTTCCTTTTGTGTAGATGCCGAGTCAGATGCAGGTTGAGATCATCTCCCAGAACCACGAGCGGGACGTTGATCGCTGAAGCCTCAGCAGATCCGGCAACAGGGATACCGGCACGTTGGCGTTCCCGTGTCAACAGATTGAGAACAGGCAAGGCAAGGTGCTATCGGAAACTTGGCCGTGAGGCAAAGATGCCATTCTCCAGATGTTAGATCGAGACCTGGATGAGGCTGAGGACGGGCATTGGACAACTTTCGCTGAAATCAAAGAGTTATTACCAAGCGTGCAGAAACTCAAGAGGGCTTCGGCTACTCGGCTTCTTTTCTTATCTGGGAACCTGCATTGAACGGTACGAACCTTACCCTCGAGGAGCAACACCAGGTGGCTGTGAGAAGCCATCTTCTCAATGTAGATCGCCTTTTGGAGATACAGCAGAGCAGGCTGGGAGCAAGTCCTATTCAAGGTTAGCCTCGCTTTAGATTGACGCCAGGTTAGGTCGTGAAAGGTCTACATTACTAATCTTAGCTCCCGCACGTGGCTCATGGCTGCAAGGCTCCTTGCTTTGGACGAAGAGTTCCAGCGAGATGTTGCCACGCTCAGGGAGGACCAGTTGGCGCCGAACAGCCGCCCAAATCTGTTTGTCATTGCAGCTTTGAGCGAAAAGCCTAGCTTCCAGAGCCGTCTCTGGAGCGCACACACACAAACAGCTGGCAGGAGTTCCGAATCGAGCGAGAGAACATCCAGGATCATGTTTTCAGCGACAAGTTCTTCTTGCCGTGCTTGGGGCTGGAACGGGTCGGTGACGTTGGGTCTCGTTGGGTCTCGTGTTACGTGCGTCATTTTACACGATTAGGTTTTGTTTGCGAAGATCCCACTGCAACTTAGCCGGGAGCAGTGCACCAGCCGCATGCACTGCCACCATGCCAGGAGCGACATGCACTGGAGAAGCGAGAACTCGCTCTCATAGTAGAACAAGTGGAGTGGCCTGGCAGCATCAACTCATGTGCTGAGGCAGAGGTTTTTCGAGCCAGATGACGCAGATAGATCAAGTATGTAACAATACTCAGGCGTGAAGAGAAGAACCGCGAAATGGTGCGGGCCTTGTGCGTCTCTCATTCCTCCCTGGACTCAGACAGAACCTTGCCTGTGGTTCTGTGTGAGCTGCATCCTTTGAGATCCTGTTGCCCACGAGTTCCATCGCCAAGGCGGATATCACCGACCACCAATCCCAGTTTGAGCTCATCCGCGCCTTGCCATCAATGAATTATCTATCTAGCCGTATTCTGCTTGTGTCACCAGCCAGCCCTGGACCTTTTCCTGCCTGTCCCCCCCAGGCAACAAGAACATCGAGGAGGACCACCAGATGCGCTCTGGGCTGGAGGAGCAGATCGAGGAGACTCGTGCAAGGCCGGTTCGCCTGTAGTGCGCTTTTTGGGGTTCAGGCGTGGCTTTGCGTTTCCAAGCGGACTAGGGCGACTAGGGGGCTTGGTGTGCTGGGCCGGTGGCCTGATGACTGGCTTGTAGTCATGTTTGAGCTTGTGTACACTCCTGTCGTGTCTCGCATCTTCAGGGCCCAAGTTGCATGTTGCATCATGTTTGCAAGAATCGAACTTGAGCTGCGGGTGTCAGAACAGCTACGAAGCTGCTTTCCCCTAGCCACTCAAGAGAATCTCTCCGAATTGAGTGGAGGCTTTTGAGGCACAGCGGACTGGCGTAGTACAGCCCGTGACAACGTGCTGACGTCAGTAGTATCTTCGCTAGGCTTAGTGTCAGTTTTGCTGCACCCGAAACTGATTCTGACACCCCGGACGTTTCGGAGCTAGCGGAACTTTCTGCAGGGAGTCCGCACGGCCTCTTTTTCAAATTGGGGCTGATCGCGCAGGTGCAAAGAAAGGCTGCAAGCCTACGAGAAGTCGACTGAAAGCAGCACGACGGAGTACAAGGACATATCGATTTCAGCACCTTGTCGCTGACCTCCCGGGGCCCCAAGAAGATGCAAGTTGTGCTGAGCTTCCTACACCAGTTGTTTGACACTGCCAGGGAGGACCCCATCATGCTCCATGCACGCGGTTCGCGCATGCTGATGTTGCGGCATCTTGGATGTCGTTGCAGAGTCCATTGTGGAGTTGCTGATGACCAGATGTGTTGACACGAATCACAGTATCTTATCTTCACTCTGCAGCCGTCCTTGGCCATTGTCATTTGTGCCAAATGGTCGCAACATGTAGCTGAGCAGGCGGAGCCCAGAAGGCATAGAAAGAATCTGCCGGCCTGGAAAGCAAAAACTTGCAAACTTGAATCGTAAGTGGACCAAGCAGCAGAGGCAGTGCTCCATGTGCCCAACTTAGTGTTGTCAAGCTGCACAGCAGCACATGGTATGTTAGTGGCGGACATAGTCATGCAGCCGCATGTCGGATCCGATTTGTCAGGCTTAAGGAGTTTGAGGCGTGGAGGCCCAGGCCGCCCCTTCTGCGGAGCTCACACTGTCGGCAACAGAGCCGTTGTGCGACCCAGCCGTTCTTCGCGATCCGCCGTTGCTCCCTTTGCCTTCGGTCTGTCTTTGGGTTTGAGCAGCTTTGCTCTTGCACGGCTCAGCCGTCGCCTGCGACGCCGTCTTCAGCGCCGGAAGGGTCGATTTGACCCTGCGGCATCTGACGGATCCCTCGGACACGCGCTGGTCCAAGCAGCGGCGCGGGGCCCGGAAGGTCTGGATGTGAAAGCGCGCGCCGCTTACGACCTGATACGGGCGGCGGCAGAAGCTGGTGTCAAGGAGTTCTCTTCTAGCCGTCTCCTCAGCTGAGCCAGGCATCATATGATGCATGATGTTTCCAAAATTAAACCGCTTGTGTCAGTCAGGCGGAGACTTTGCAGCAGTCGGCCGAGCCGCGGCCAAAGCACGCGAAGAACTGGTTGTGCGTGCCGCAGATGAAATCCGATCTGGGAGTGCAGATGTGGATGTAGTGGCCGAGTTCCTGGTTGACTCTGCACTCACGAGGGCTGCACGCTGTGCCCATGGAGGTGGAGGTATTTACTCGGAGCTTTGGCTCCTAGATGAGGGCAGGGCGACTGTCGAAAACATCCGGACGGCGAAGATGGCGGATGCTCTACAGCAAGAGGATGGCAGTGCTGTTGCACGTTTGCTAGCTTGCAAGGACATCTTGGTCGACGAGCGGCCACGGCAAGAGGGCCACGAAGCGCCGCTCTTTGCACAGGTGCAACCCTATGTCTTCACCAGATCCACATTTCTGGCGCTTCTGGATGTCTTTGAAGTCTTCCATCAACGCCGTGGGCAGATTGGGGAGTACACCGTGGATGAGCGCGGGAAGATCGAAAAACTTCTGGATGTTGTGGACCGCACGCCCGTCATGCGCCGAGCTCGTGCAGAGGCCGCAAAGCTTGAAGATCTCACAGACGAATCTTGGCGTCGTCACATGTGGAACATTTGGTTCCAGCGACACCCCACAAGCCCAAAGTGCGGCTTCGAGCATGTCTTTGTTGGTGAGGCCACGGAAGACTTGCAGGGACGTGGGGTGGTCGGAGGACTGCACAACTGGGTGAAGTTCTACCTAGAGGAGCAGCGAGGCGCCGCACGCTACTTGGGCGCGCGGTACAAGGGCCGGACAACCGTCTCCGAGGGAGCTCTGAACCCCTACTTCGTCAGTGGCCGCTTCACTTGGGACCTTGAGGGGAAGCATTTGATTAAGGACGTCGGCGGATTCTTCGTTGGTGTGTCACCTGAGTGGCAGCTAGCGATCGCCACGACGGCTTTCTTCGAGACGCTGACACCCGAGCGTGCTGTGAGACGCCAGTGGAGTCGTGACTTCATGTCAAGGGATGTTGGGTACATGCGGGCAGCGAGACTTGGTGACCATGTGTGCATTGGATGCAGTAGATGCATCCTTTTCACTTATTGCTGCATGCAGTTGATGCATGTTGTCGTTGTTATTGAACTGTTTGTTGTTGTGTCGGGTGTTGCTGTTGGGAGGTACCGGATATGCATCCGACGGAACGAGCATGGGAATTTGACCACGTTCTTTGCGGCGCAGCTAGGGACCTGGGATGCGCGGGCGCGAGCCGAGCTCGACGAGCCTCTCACTCCAGAGGTCCTCAAAGAGCGATTGCAGCCACTGTTGGTCCTGCATGGTTTCGCCGACGAGGAGGACCTGTTGCGGCTTGCAACTCGCGTTGCTTCAGCCGGTGCGTGCAACTTGCGAGATGCACTGAGACACCTGCATGCAGAGCTGACCTTTAGCTTCTCCGATGCTGCGCAAGCGGAGACACAGATTGCGGGTGCCTCGTCTACAGCATTCAAACGGGCTGCTTCTGTGCATGTAGCTTACGTGACCTCCTTCCACAGAGCGAAAGCCAAAGCCTCCGACAATTTACCCTGAGCCTGGGCTTCTTCGTGCCTTGTCGCTTCTTTTGCCCAGCCGAGGTGACCTTCCGCGTGTTGTCGCAGAGGTCATCGCCGCCTTCGACCAAGGCCGCCTCCGAAGCGACGCCTGGGAGGTCCCGGGCTGAGGGGGCATCGGGTGGGGAAACATATTGGGAGGGGGGGGGGTGCAAGGAGCAGCAGCTGCTTGTACGAGAGGACACGAAGGCGCTCCAAGGCTTTTCAGGCTTAGAGAAAACCGGGGATGGGTGTAGGCGCGGCGTGGGTAGGCTTCTGTGCGGTGCATGACTTCTGGTGTCTTAGGAGCTGACGGCCGATCTCTCCCGTGCGACGGGTCTCAAGGCTGCGGGGGCGACCTGCAACTTCATGATAGAGCACCGTCCGCTGTTGCACAGTCTTCGCCACTGCTCTGTCCACTCACATGCCATATGCAACCCTGAGGGCAAGAAGCTTCTTCAACCCCTGCGCTTCACCCTGACTGGCCGTTTGAAAGGACTTGGATCGCCGAGATAAGATGTCAGACCCTTCCTGCCAGAAGTTGGCCAGGACACAGTCTTCCTGAGCTGATCCAGCTGCTGGAGCTGAGACTCGGCACAGGTGGAGCTAGCACAGGAAGCGCAGGGTGCGTCTTTGAAGCTTTCTGGGCTTGGGGAGGCCCATGGGGTCGTTCCGCGGACCAAGGATGGAGCGGCTCGGTGCCCCTTGGAGTTCCGTGGCTGTTGTTGGTGGCCATGCGTGCTAGATGCCTCAAGATCCAAAGAGGCTCAGACTCTGAAACCTTCAACGCTTTTCGGGTGGAGCAGAGAAGGCAGTTGTAGGGTCTCGAGCATCAGAAGTATCAAACATGGCGCATATCTACAGTTAGCGGTTTCGGGAGCCCTTGCGATCGATGCAAGGCTCCGATGTGCTGCCTCTGGACAGACGTGTTGCAGAACTCCGGACATGGCGCGAAGTAGCCAGCGCTGCCTGCACGACAAAGCTCGAAGTGGCCGCGTAAAAGTGCTTGCCTTGTGGTGGAAGACAATGCTGGTGATTCGATGCCTCATTATGACCAAGCCAGTGCATGCTGCTCACCCGCAGGAGTACCTTCGTCGTGATGCATCTCTCAGTGACCAGGTGCTTCGAGCAGCATTGAGTTAATGTTGTCAGAGATGGTTGCGGTATGAACTGGAATCATGGTTCGAGCCAGAGAGAGCCTGCCACAGTGTTCGGCTGTGCAGGTTGAGCGGAGGCTGCGGCAGGTGGAGCGCATGCAGGACGGTTATGGGCCAGGTAGAGTCAGTAGAGCATGAGCACTTGGTCACGCTCTGCGTATTCTGTGACCAAGCCGTTTTCCCTGAAGTCGGCTTGTGTCTCGACGTGTCTCGACTGCGAGGCCGCCATCCAGCACTGGAAGCAGAAGATCGCGCAGAACAGGCAGGAGTGCGAGGCGCAGCTCCCGTAACAACAGTGCAAGATAGTCCAAGCAGGGTATCTCGAAAGCAAGCATCCGAGCTGAGAGTGCTCGGAGGAGCGGAATCAGCAGCTCCGCACGGAGAAGGACCACATCGCGAAACACTTCCAGGCGCATGGCGTGACTTCAGGGTGGCACCTCAAGCATCACATGCTGAAGCTGTTCTTTCCTTTCAAGCGCATGCAGGAGCTCAAGGCGAAGATGAATCACTTCCGCACGGAGGGTCTCGTGGCTGTTCTTACAGTAGGGCATCTTCACGGACGAGTTCTGCAAGGTTGCACCTGCAGGTCCGTGAAGTGAACGTCTTAATCTTAATCCCGAGAGAGTGTTTTGCAGCCGAAGGGTTGCATGTCTTTGAGGTTAGAAGTGCTAGGCACCGGGTACTCTTGAAACTTGTAGCTGGCGCTTCGCGACCGGCTTCAGTCCACTAGTTGACTTCCAAGAGACATTGCCTTCTTTGCCAGACGTTGTCGCCTGAGGCAAAAAGCGCCTCGCAGACCTGACAATGAATGCCAGGACAGCCATGGGTTTTCAGGATTTGGGGGGTTCGGGGCTGGGCAATGGATCCTCAGCACTACGAGCGCCTCAAAACCCTCACTCCAGCCTCACAGGCTCTGGCCTCACCCCAAAGACGAAGAAAAATAAAGAAAAGAAACTAGGAAGACCCGTTTGTGATCCGGGGGCGCTCGATCGAACAACTGCCGAAGGAACTGCATCAAGTCCTTGAAAGACCAGCTGGGCCTTGCCGAGAGGATCTTGAAGACTGCAGAACTTTGCAGGAGCTCTTTTGTTGAGTTACGTCGGTCTGGGAGTGTTCTGCGCCCGTCTGAAGGAAGTTCGAGACGGAGCGGGAGAAGGCCGCTGTGTTTGCTGGGAAATTAGCAAGTACTTTTGGCCAGGAAGTTGTCTCTTCACATCCGGAGCGGCTGTTGCATCTTTCGGCTTCGCCTTGCCCGTAAGTATCCCCTGAGGTGCTCCCGTTCTATCTGTCACGTGACATCCTCCAAGAATTTGAGGAAGGTGAGCTCGAGTTCGGAGATGAGGACTTTCGCTTTCGCGCTTTCACCCGGCCTGGCTTCTTTGCGGTTCCTCGGAGCTCTTCGGGGCTCCTTGGGGCACGCTTCAGTGCTCGAACATGTGTGCAGGACCTCAAAGAGGAAATCCGAAAGGAGCTCACAGACGTTGGCATCGATGAGTGGACCTACTTGGACAATTTCTTTAAGCGGTACAACAAGGCCAGTTGTCGTGTGCTGAATCAAGTTCAGTTCTTCCTCAACCCACTGTGTATGCAAATGTGTGCTCTTTTGGCAGGTGAAACTAGACTTCCATGCAGTTGAACAGGACGGCTCGCCGAAGCATCAGTGCAGTGGTCGCGACAGTGCTTTCATTGTATATCCCCTGCCGACAGCTTGCTGCGTCGTGGCCACAAGTCGTGGCCACAAGAGGCAGGAGGCAACGCGATGTCATTGAGAATCGACCGTTTGTCAAGTTGCATGCATTTATGTCGAGATGGATGTTGGAGAAGAGGAAACATGAGCATAAAGAGGTGACATGCCTGTGTATCGAGGTGCGTGTAGTCAATTTAGAAAGGCCTCAGCCTGTGGATGTGGGAGCTCCACTGTCTGCAGGAGGGAAAGCGCCTCACAAAGGAGAATGTACAGCTGCTGGGATTTTTGATGCTCAATTCTTCTTGCAACCGCAGCATCGTCATGTTACAGCTCTTTGGGGCGAGTGTTACGTGTTCCCTGAGAACTGAAAGAATGAGGCTGCTTTGCACTTAGGTTGCGTTCCATCCTGAAGCAGTTCCTCGACGGAGTAAGTGTCAATGAGGCCGGGTGCAGACTGTACCGGCTCTATGCAGAAGTGCAACATGCTAATCAAGAGCAGCTTGTCCAAGATCGGGCGTTTGTGTTTGCTCATAGTGCCTCGTCTACTGCAGGATGTGCTGTCGGCACCAAATCCTCTGCTGGTGGTGAACGGCAAGGTGGTCTTTGCAGCTTCCTAGCCCGAAACCCTCAATTCTGTTACTGGCTTGTCGTGCTTGGTGATTGAACATGTCGCATCTTTGGCTGTAATCGTAATCGCGGCTGTGATGCCAGGTGAATCTGAACCACGTGCCAGTCAAGCGCGCCGCAGACAAGACTGTCCTTACCACAGTTCCAATCACCATGAAGGGCTTCACTGGTGGTGCACGTTTTTGCATTGTAACCGTTGTGCGACTTTGCCTGACTTGAGTTTCAAGACATTTCAAGACTGTATCATTCGTTAACTTTTTGTGGGAGTGCGAGGCAAGTTTACCGTAATCGCTTCTTCAACGCCCGATTGGAGAGTAGGAAACTAGCCTATGACCAGCTCACACAGCCGCGTTTCCAAGGTGTATGTGGAGGCAGCGCACCATGCTGGCAACACCGTTGTCAGGCTGGTGGAGTCGTGTTGATAGCAGCGGAAGGGCTGAGAACTCCTCGCGTCTTGCAGGCGCTGACGTCTTCACGGACGCTCCGAGCCTGGCCTGCAAAACCGCGGGCGAGTCCCTTCGGCTCTTGCACACTGCTTGGAAGCCATCTGCAGAATCAACAGTCTGCATAAGACGATACTGCGACATACAGGTTATATTAACAAGAAATGCCGTCTCATGTCATACAAGCACTTCATGGAACAACCTTGCTGCCCTAGCAATGCATACTCTGACTCGGTGTTCCGAAACTTGTGCGAAAGCAATTAGACAAGAGCGTTCACTCATGTTCACTCAAGAATTCCGTTTCACTCCCTCTGCTGTGATTGCGAAGAGCCGCATGCACACGCTGCAAAATGAACGCATCTGTCTGCGTCGGCGAATGGTTTTGGCTGCAACTTATGACTGCACATGGCTTCACTAGCCCAGGTCAGCTGCGAGCTTGATTGAGATAAGCAAGTTTAGCCGTGGTTGACGTTTAGCCATGGTTGACGCCTTGTTTTGCGTTGCTTCGCACGCTCCAGCACTTCTGCACATCGGCTGTGCCTCAAGCGAGCTGCATGTCACTCTCCAAGCGCTTGCAAGTATTTCAAGCCATGTCACTTGACCGAAATTTATTCTCTGGCACTTTTCATGCTCTGATCCAGTCCCACAGCCATGGCCCGGGTCCCAACGCGTCCATGCAGTTCGCGGGGAAAACTCTATCCCCGGAGTATCCGAGCTTGCAGCCTCGTGAGGCAGTCCTGAAGAAGGCGAAGCCCAAGATGAAGCGGAAGGCTAAGAAGGTGAAGTCGGAGGCGCGGGCCGCCCGACAGAACCACCGGCTGCAGTCTTGGATCCAGAGATCTGTGACCCCAGGTCGTTGAAAAAGCGAAAGAAGCGGCTTGCAGCTGAGTTCGTGTGCCAACCTGTGCTGTCATCTCCCCGATTTGGTTCATGTCTGGCGCAAAGCTTTCAAAGCAGTTGATCCAATTTAGGTCTGACTTTCTCAGACAGTTTTCACAGAGCTTTCACAGCTTCCACTGTTTGCTCGACTCCACACAGCTTCAAGCCGCTAGAGCTATGCAAACAGTCAGCTCGCTGTTCTTCGCGGCACAGTAACTCTGTGACTGAAGCTTTTGCCCTGGCGCGGGTGCCGAGCCCCGCCGAGTACCAAGCTACGGCTTGCCGCGCCATGGTCGACTCTGAGAACCACTTCGCCAAGCCTTGGCCGCTGCCCCTAACCGAGCGGGACGTGGCCTGATTCGGAAATTCATCTCACATATTAGTCTTGATTTCGTTATGATCTGTAGTTTAATGTTTTATTCGGTTATGTCATGTTGTGTCACGTTGTACTGCGTTATGTCACACTTGATGTTAATTATACTATAGTAAGGAATGTTACACCATATTGTATCATGTAGTATCTTGTAGTAAAGCATATTCTGCTATGTTCGATGGTAGGGCATTTTCTATAGTATTTATTTACAGGTACATATCAGATTACAGCATCTTAGGATAGTATTCTATACCCTCCCAGGCAGCTTCTCAGTAGCTATGAGCAGCGGGTTCCACCTCCCAACTATGGCAGTCCCTGCGGAGCCATTCCCTGTCCCTGAGGACGCGACTCCCAGAGTTCCCAAGGCCCTCGCGTTTTTAAGAACCAAGAGACTGCACATCCCTGAGCCTCGCAGGAGTCGGAGGCCTCTAAATCTCTTTCCAGGAAGGTTCAGACCCCAGAGCTGCCCAAAATTGCACCCAGGTGGCTATCCGCCAGCGCTCCGCCCGCTTGCTACAGGCGCTGCAGCGGGTCGAGGGCGGCAGCTACAAGGTTCCGTGACAGACATTAGAAAGGAGGCAAGAATCAAGACACTCATGCCTCTTACCTCAGCACCACTCTACCGAAGTGGGCATCAGCGCGAAGAGCGGGTGTGCGGGTGCTTGAGAAATGAACGGGCAGTCGCCCACGAGCTGAGGAAAAGGCGGATGACTTCGACACGACCTTCTCCATGTTGGTGAAAGGCTGTAGGGAGGTGGCCGAAGAGGGCTTCTTGGAGGCTCCCATCTACAACAATGCGCAGATTGAGGCGGCCTGGCTCTTCCTTTTCGAGGTGCGGCGGCGGCATGTGAACAAGAGGAAGCAGCTCCAGGAGTGCATTCGTGTTCTTGGCTCCTCCTACAACTGGTCGATGGCTCTTTTCGGATCCAAGAAGGTCCAGGATGCCTTGCGTGCTCTGCCCGGCTGCTTATCTGCACAGGTTGCAGGCTTCGGAGAATCCTTTGCCTCCGTCGTCGAAAATCGAATTTTGTAAGGCATGGGTGTAGGCCATAAGTGGACAGACCAAGCTTGGGTCTAGATCAAGCTTGCCATTGGTACTGCTAGACCTGGGGGAAGCCGTTGCGAAAGAGCTCATAGTATTGCTTAGGCTCCAACATGCACCAAACCAACCAGGTTTGAATAGGGCAGAGACAGAGTCCTGCTAAATGTACATTCCAGCGAAATCATCTGCATGCGGGGATGCTGGGAGAGCCTTACGAACCCCTCGCTCTGCAGGCTGAAACGGTTTTCAGGGAGAGACTAGTCACATCAAGCTACATCTGGGAAAAGCCTCGTGCTCGGAAGTAGTATCGCCAAAGTTCGCTGGGTCACCGAAAGCCTCCAAAACTTGCAAGGGGACGCGCGGGCGGAGATCCTCGAAGATGCGGGTGCCATGGATCTGCTGTCACAGCTGCAGCCGAAGTACATGCCGGGCGAGCCCGAGCCAGACGAATCACCCCCTGCCCAGCCAAGCTGGCCGGCAGGCCCGCAAGGCACTGGCTGGCCAGCGCCGTCCAATCCTGGCTTCGGTGACTTTCCGAGAGAAGAAGCCTCCAGGGCTGATTGGGCACGGCCCGCGCAGGCACCGGGATCCGCCGGAAAGAACAATCCATTCAAGAAATCCAGCGCTCCGGCTGGAGCAGACTGGGCGATGCCACAGCGCGGTGAAGCCTACCCGGCACCAGCGCAGGGCTTCCCAGACGCTTTTCCAGCTTTTCCGAGCTCTGCGCCGCGGCCGACGTCGGCCTCGAATCCCTTCCGGAAAGAGAAGGAAGAGACGAGCGGAGGGACCGGCTGGCCGGCGGTGCCGGGTGACCTCGATGCTTTCCAGTCAGTCCGGCCCGCGCCAAGGCCGCCTCCAACAGACGGGCGAGGGCACGATGCTTCTGCTTCCGCTGCTTCCGGTTCCCTGGCTCCTCAGGACGTCGTGGCAGGTGCCAGATTCGCCAAGGAGTCGGGCATAAGCGCGCAGGACATGATGGCAGGCGCTCAGTTTGCCCAGAAGTCGGGTGTCACATCGCAGCAACCCGGCTGATTTGGCTAGAGCTCCTTTCAGGGCTGCTCGCTTTCCTTGTCGTTGGTTCGTAGACGACAGATGAGGCACGCGATGGAAGGTGCACGAATGGCACATCAGGCCGGTGTCAGGCCGCAACATGTCGTGCAGGGGGCGCAGATGGCCCATCAGGCAGGTCTCCGACCACACCATGTTGTCGATGGTGCAAGATATGCAGCAGGGCAGAATTCATCAGATGTTGTGCCAGTACCTGCCGAATCCTGTTGGTAGTAGCTCTCGGCCGTCACCGACACAGCCTCCGGATTTGGTTGCCAAGGCACAGCAAGCCGGCGTAACACCCGACAAAGTCCTCGCGGTGGGTAAAGCCTTTTCAGAGACTCAGCCAAACTAAAGCATCTGATTAATCCTTGATTAGCTAGCTGTCCTGTGGCTTTCGTGTCAAAAGCACTTGCTCACTCTTCACAACCGTCTTGATGTAAGGCTGGGAAGTAAACGAAGCTTTCTCCTCGCCGTGCAGCACATGACTCTGCTTCCTGCAGAGTTCACGAATGCCGTGGGAGCTACCTGTCGCACTGCAGCCACGAGACCGACCAGATTTGCTGCAGCGCCATAGGAACATCGGCTGGGTGGGTGTGACGGCTTTGCAGACCCTGGATCTGCCATCTGCAAAGCCCTTCCCGCCCTCAGAACGCTGACATCTGCTTGCGGCCACAGAGCCGCCCAGGCGGTGGTCGAACAAGCTTGTGCCACGCAGCTTCAGCAGCTCAAAAAGTGGGATGGCTGGTGAAAGAGAGCGAGAGCTTTCGAAGTCCTTTTCTTTTGCTTCGTGAATTGCATGTGCAGTTTTCCTGCGAAAGGTCAAGCAGCCGCAGCTGCCTAAAGATGCTGTGAACAACGCAGATGTCGAAGTGGCAGACGAGGCGACAAGGGCATGTCGACGTGTCGTGGACTGATCAGATTCGCATGTGATGCATGGCAGGCAAGCTTCGAATCCCTGGGAGTCTGCGAGGCAGGGATCGGACACAAGCGTTTCTTGGGCGCTTACCTCCTTTGGACAGGAGCTTTGCCAAGCGGTGAAGCTTATGAAGTGGACGAAGCCAACCAGGAAAGCACATGTGAGTCCTTGGCCAGTGGGCATGCTTGCGCGGACCACTTCACTACAGCGATGTGAGATTGATCTCCCGGCAGGATCCAACAAGAAGCCATTCCCTGGGCCTTGCAGGCCTGGAGCCAATCCAATTTGGCGCCCCTGGTCTTTCTGAGTCTTGTGCCTCGTGTCCCGAAGGGCCGGGACATCATTGGCCTGGCGGAGACCGGCAGCGGTAAGACCGGCGCCTTCGCCTTGCCCATCGTGCAGGAACGGGACGGAGACACGCCTCCGTCTTTGTCAAAACATGATGTAGCTGTGATACGCGCTGTATAGCACAGCCTTCGAAAGGCCACAACCTGCCAAACCAGGATATAGAAAAGACCCTTGAACAGGGTCCTACTAAAGGTTGTGTCTTGTCTGGTGGATTGAATGCTGTCATGTGCAGAGCTTTTTCTCTGCAAGACCTGTTGCCAGCGGCTTCTCGACGACCCCCAGCGCTTCTACGCGGTTTGCTTGGCTCCAACACGTGAGCTGTGTGTCCGGCTCCTAGCGGGAAGTCCGTGATAGCCAAACTGGCCCGGTTCCAGCCAAGGTGCAGATCGGTGAGCAGTTTGAGGTCGCGTCCTGGCTCTTGCTTTATCCATGCTCTAAGCGCAATCCCAGCAGACAAAGGCCATCGGCAGCACCATCAAGCTGCAGACTGCCACAGTGGTAGGTGGTCTGGCCATGGTCGACCAGGCCCTCGGCAAAATCGCAAAGATCGCCTCTTCTTTGCTGGTACTCTACCAGGCCATGGCCCTAGCAAAACGACCACACGTCGTCATCGCCACACCTGGCCGGCTCGTCGACCACTTGGAGAACACCAAGGCCCGCACCGGCAGAACTGTCGCTGCCAGACTGCGTCCCACGTTCATGATCGATTGTTGCAGGGGTTTCACCTGAAAACCATCAAGTACCTCGTCATGGACGAGGCCAAATCGTGTATGCCAAGCTCTGGATCGGGCATAGACTTGGTATGGCTTAGTATGCTCTCTTTCAATATGATTCCACCGCAATCGCTCAGAGCGTTTTGCCTCTGCTGCCGCCTTTCCGCGTTGAACCAGCTTCAGTTCAGGTCCACACCAGCCCCAAAAGACGGCAACTTAGACAAACAAGCGCCCCAAAACGGCACAAGGCACCAGCAAGCCCAAGATTAAGCGACGAGCGTTTAAACCCGGTGCATATGCCCGAAATGAAGCCTACAGATCAGCCCCAAATATTGCGCAAGCCAGGCGGGTAGAAGGCCTAAACAAAGGCCGGCTGAAAGTCTGTCAACGAAATTTGTGCCCCCAGACAAAGCAAGAGGCCCATGTTGAGGCAAAGAATGGCAAAGGATTAATTGGATGCCGTACTTCGGGATTGGCGTACATGACAGCCGGCCTAGGCCACCGGCCTAGGCCAGGTCGAAAGGAGACCCCAAGGCCGCGCGAGGAAGTTGCTTGTGCCAGGCAGACCGGTTGCTCTCCATGGACTTTGACGAAGCCTTAGACAAGATCCTCGAGGCTGAACATTTCAGACTGGAAGAGATGGTGATTTTCGGGTTGGCCCTGGCATCCGATCAAGCTCCCAAGCTTGAGCCTTTGCAGTACCAGTTGGGGTGCATCACGGCTGATGGTTTGAACAAGCTACAATGTCATGAAGCGCTGCACTCAATGAGCAGGCTTCCGGCTGCACTGCTTCTGTTTGAAGCCGTTCTGGCTCGAGCCGAGTGCTTGTGCCGACGTTGCCATGGTTACAGCCATGCTGACGAGGAGGCATTTCCCGTAAAAAACCTTCACATCTACACTAAACCCTAAACCCTAGACCCCCGACCCTAAACCCTAAACCCTAAAACCCTAAACCCTGAGCCCTAAATGGCAGTCTGGCATCGTGCTTGCGTGCCCCAGGGCTTTTCCCAGTCTCCTCATGGGCCTGGGTCTGATCTTGGCCTTCGCCTTCCTGTGCCTTGGCCGAGGACTCCAAGCGGCGCGTTTGCCATGGCTTGTGCGGCCTGTACACACACACATATATATATATATACACAATCTCTCTCGCTCTCTCTCTCTCTCTCTCTCTCTCTCTCTCTCTCTCTCTCTCTCGCTCTCTCCTCTTCTCTCTCTGTCTCTCATATATACATATACATATATATATATAGAGTATAATATAATATAGTATAGTATAATATAATATAATATAATATAATATAATATTATAATATAATATAATATA